GTGCCTTACACATGCTAGCTAGGTAAGCGCTCTACCACTGAGCCACAACCCCAGCCCTTGATTGCAGCTTAAGCCTGTATAATCTCTGCTGGGGAAAAGAAATCTGAAAGGCTTTAACCATGTTGATTGTAGTCCAAAGAATACTGAGGCGATAAATCAGTGTTTCATATTCATTACAGCGATGCAGGTGGACCTCTGCTTTGAACCATCCAATTGTTGTCTTTTAGATTATGTCTCTGATAAAAATCACATTTAAAACATCTACTATTCAGTATTTTTACTTATTGACTTTGTCCTTTCTCTAATCTAAAATGGAGATAATTCACTTTACATTTCCTTTTGAAAAATGACTTGTCAAATGCCACGTTGTGATGAGGGGCTGGCTATAGAGTTGCCATGGTTAAAGAGAAAGAGACATATCACCCAAGTAACTTGGGAAATGTATTCATACTAGAGAGTAGATGTCAAAGATGTTAGTGAAAAACAAACCAGGACACATTTGAAGTCCCTGACAATATACCAAGGGTCACTGGTTATTGTTCACTTGGGTGGACATCTGCTATTCATTTTCTTCCAAGCTGGCACTTAATCCTTTAGAAGATGAAGTACTTGGTTGTATTAGGGAGGATGTATTCTACCTATCAGTGATTTTTTTCTTGAGGCTTTTTACTTTGAACTTTGTTGATATCTATTTTTTTGAATGGGTAAGGAATAGAAAGAAAATTAAAAATAATGGAAAAGGGGGGTGAATAATTCAAAACATGAGAAGTTGATTACAAAAATACTACAGTTCATATCAATGATCTTACTCATCATCCTGCTCATGGAATGATGAATATTCTGCTTGAATAAATTTATATTTGTATTGTTGGTAAGATTTATCATGCCTGAACCATCAACTTGTCTTACTGTTCAAAGAGCATGAAGTTGTTTCTTTGGGGGGGCCAGGAATTTCTCATTATCTAAATATTGTTGAGGAAAAATTCTCTGAAGAAATGATCACTTAAGATATATGAATGATTTTCTAATCTCTGGAAGAAAATATCTTAAATTATGTTGCTTCCTTGGATTTTGGAATGTGAGCTGATTGTTGGCTTTAGCTAGCTGGGGCCTATCACACTGAAGCCAAGATAGCAGCTTCCAGAAGCAGTTTGTCTTTTTAAGCTATCTGCCTATGGGCTTTCCTAGAAGGCTCCAGAATTGGAAGAAGTTAAATCAGAAGCTGAAGCTTTGGACAGCTGCTTTCAAGGCAAGTGATCACAGGACACAAACTCCACATGAGGATGAACAGAGATCTCCCTTGGAGGTCTACCTTCTGATCCTCATGAGGCCAGGCACTAGAGGTTCTGTCTGATTTCACTGAATTATGCATTAAAATTATCTCCAGGGAGTGTTTCCTACCTTAATTGTACAAATGGCTATGCAGGGTCAATAGATAGAATCCTTCTAGGATTCTAAGATGGCATATTAACTTAGGCACATTTTCAGGACAGTGGGAGGAAAGATTGTACAAATACATGAAAAGACAAATTGTGTCACATGAAGGTCAGTGGTAAGGGCTCAGAAGTGATGAAACAGAGTAACAAAGAATGGAGTTGGAGTAGAGATCAGAGATAAACCATAGAAGCGCTAACCCAGGAAGCAAATGAAAGGATTTCAGTAGTAAATGAAGGGAAATTTGAAGGGTTATCTTATAAGGAGTTTCATGGAAAAATAATTGGATTTATTATTTCCTGAGGACAATTAAGGGAATTGTGAAAAAGAAAATTTAGACAAATAATCTGAGATTCTAATGTCAGTTTTTTATCCTTGATCCTCAAACACTTGTTTAAAACTTCTCTCCTTTATACTAAGGTGCATAAAAATGCTTTCTACAAAATGTCCTTAGAGAGGTCAAGAGGGCACACATAATGATTCCTAAAAAAGGCTAGTTTTGCTTAGACTCATTCCTGGTTCTAGGTGAGGTATATCTATGCTTTTCCTGTTTCATTCTTCACCTTTGTTTCTTTTGTGTGAGTCACTGCTAAGAGAATTTGCACAGCTTCTAACCTTTCCTTGGAACTTGCTTCTTGGGGTTCTTTGAGCTGCTTTCCTTTGAATGTGTGGTAGTTCCCAGCATGGCACTGCTCCAGCTGAAGGCAGAGTATCACCTGGGCAGCGGGAGACCCATCGGGTAACAAGTCAGTACCTCATGGACTAGCTGGTTTGTGGTCCAGCCATGTGTCTTTCTTATACTGCTAAAGTTCCACTCTGAACCTTTGGGCCTGTTCTTTGTTTCTTGGAAAATCTTTTAGAGAGGTTGGGAGAGGAAAAGGATAAAACTCAGACAATGCTGACTACAAGTTATGGATCACTTATTTAAATTATTTGTTTAGAGATCATGTTGATAATAGTTAATTATGCTATCAGTTTCTGAGAATTAAGATTTTACTTTAAAGGCTGGTTTGAAGAATTTGTTATTTTTCACTGAATTATTAAGATGCAGGGAATGCTGAAATTTCTGGTGCTCTCAAGCATCTATACTTCCAATTTGGAAAGGGAACTAAATGAAGCATATTGTCATGCACATAAGAACCTTGGAGGTTTCTTAGGGAGAGAACCAAGTATGTGGTGTCACATCTTCCCTTCTAACCTAAGAGAACTGAGACCAGGAATTTCAGGGATTCTGTTCAAGATCATACCCCCAGTGATGGACAGAGTATAGACAAGATCTGTTCTCCCTATTCCCGAGTGAAAATGCCATACCTGAAAAGGGTCTTTCTCCTGTGACGTTGACATATGCAGTCATTGCAACAGGGTGAACACAATGCATAGTAGGTACTAGTGGGATATTAGTGCTAATTATTGTTTTTATAGGCTAAAATTTATTTATTTATTTATTTGCTTTTGGTACCAATCTCTGAATTTTAAATTTCCTATTTCTCACCAGATTTATTTTTACCAACTTTCAAACACCAACATAGAATATTGTACCCACCAGTTTACATATTGGGAGGATTTGTGTCATTTCACTGTGTTTTGCTGTTATGGGACCAAGTAATATCCTTGGTGCTTTGGCTTCTAATTAGATATCATGAGTATAGGGAGAATGGGGATAAGTGGACATTTCTGGGGAGGAAAAAAGGTGGGAGTTTTTTTCTTTTTGTTTTTGTTTTCTAGAGTTTTGGTCTAATTTACCATTGCCAAAATCTGGTTGGTTCTTTTCATAATATCCATATTTCAATGTGCTATGGAAGACTTTCTTTCTTTCATGAAGTCATTTTAAATTTCTATTATTTGAGTACAACAAAAAAAATATAAAATGCTTGGCATTGTGTCCAGAGACTGAGGCATGAAGATCTCAAGTTTGAGGGCAGCCTATGCAACTTACCTGTCTCAAAATAAAAAATAAAAAGTACTGGGGATGTAACGCAGTGGTAGAGAGCCACTGGGTTCAATACCCAGAAGCGCGCACACAGTAAAAATTTCCACCTTAAATGTTCTGTTAAAATAAATGTCAAGTAAGAGCTGGGTTTTCTATTTAAACCAGGGTACAAAGATATTGAAAACAGCCTTGTACATGAGTGTGAGGACATTCAATTTTGATGCATAGGCCCTTAGTTGATTTGTTTATGTGCTTTACTCCTTGTCATTTCCAGGACCCCACTGGTGACTCTAGGCTTCCCAAGGTGGTAGCAGAGCAGGAAGTGGAACAGCTGAAGACCCAGGTGGCACGCCTTCAGGCTGAAAAGGCAGACCTGCTGGGCATCGTGTCTGAATTACAGCTCAAGCTGACTGCCAGCGGCTCCTCAGAAGACTCCTTTGTTGAAATCAAGATGGCTGTAAGAGTTTTGTTTTTGGTCTTGTTTTAAGCAAACTACAAAGCCTCATCTAGACAGAGGAAACAATTACTACTATTTTTGGCCAACAATGGAAGTGAAATAATGAGGAAATTTTAGTGTAGCAATGATAAATTAGCTCCCATTTTTTTAAGTACAATGCTTGCAAGAGTTTCTTAGCAAAAATGAAAAAATATAAATTACCTTTTATGACAAAAGATATAATCATTTTCCCCAACTTGTCTTGGCAAATTGGATGTTTTTGTGACTGACCTAAAAACAATTCAAAAACAACAACAAAAAAAAACATAAAGCATGAACTTTCTGGTCATTTTTAAAATCAGGTCTCAAAGCCGTGAGAACAGTTCACTCAGATGAGCGGAATTGTGATCAAGTAGTAAACCAATGGTTTTTAAATACTTTTTAGTTGTGGGTTTCTCTTTTCAAAGTCTTATGAGGAACTAGGGAAATTAAAAATGAGAAGAGAGGGAAGAGCTGTTCTGGTGGTAGATTTGTTGCCAAAATCTCTGTCATTGTCCGAAAAGCCAATCCAATAACAAGGTCAGGATTTTGAGAAAAAGGAAAAAGAAGATTTATTGCTTTGCTAGCAGAGGAGAAACACAGGGGACTCCTGTCCTAACAGCCATGACTCTGCCCATCAGCAAGAACAGGGGGCTTGTAAAGAGGTGACTCAAAGGCTACATTCTGTGTGTTCTCTGGAGTTGTAATTCACTTGTTCATTTGGGAGATAAGACCTTTCTGAGAACTTCTGGTACCATCCCCAAAGTCTGGATTACTTCATTCCTATGGTGAGTGTGTACTCTGCCTAGGATGGGGAAGAAAGGTAATCCTGTTTCCCCTGAGATTAGGGAGGACCCAGGAGAGAGGAGGAGAAAGAAACATGTCCATTTAAAAAATAAGTTGCAGTGGCAGAGCAGTAAGAATTATATTCAAAGCATAACATGACCACTGTTACAGGTTGTGGAGTATATGAGAACTGAGTTTGAACCCAGTGCTGTCAAAGTCAAATTCCTGTCAACCCAAAATGAAGTGAGCTAAGCAAGGTGGTGTTTATTGATCCCTAAACTCTTGTGAAGTGTCTATCATGGCTATTTCTGAATATACACATAGTCCTGTTAAAGAGCAGAATGGGTACGTAGATCATGTAGGGGCCTCTCTTTACATGACACTACAAAAGATTGGACAGTGAAGGAGAAAAACACACAAGGATAAAATCCTCTGTAATATAGAAGGTCATTTGAGCTTTGTCAAAGTGCAGATCTGATACGGGAAAAGAGATAAATTGTGCCCTGAAAAAGGAAATGGACTTTATAGATCAGTCAGGGGTAGTGGGGAGCAACTTGAAAAACAGCTGATCTACTAGGTATTCTGGAATATTACTGTGGGTCTTCCTTATTCACTTACCACACTAAAGATTAATAGAGTTGGAAAATGGTTCTTAGTGACCTTACTATCCATGCCAAAATCAGGAGAAATTTAGGTTTGAAAAGGCTCCTTTACCAGAGTGTCCTTCCTGGAAGATTACTGAAACAGAAATTTGATCAAAGAGCTTTAACCTTCTGCAAATAACTGATAAAATTCAGGAAGCCAAAAGAGTATATCAGACTTCTCCAAATTAGGCTTGTTCTCTTACAGTTAACATCATCTTCTGCCTCACAGATAAGGGACAGTTGTGCTTGCCTCACTGCTGTGAACTTGAAAATACTGCACAAGATTTAGAAAGTGCAGCTCAGGAGGCTGAGGCAGGAGGATTGCAGGTTTGAAGCCAGCCTCAGCAACTTAGTGAGGCTGTAAGCAACTTCATGAGAACTTGTCTCAAAATAGAAAAATTAAAAGGGCTTGGATGTGGCTCAGTGTGATATCAAAAAAAAAAAGATGTAGGAAGTATATCTACAGTATCTATTATAATTTTTGAAGATTTCCCTATTAGTTTATTTGAATATAACTGCCTTGCAAGTACTACTTTAGTCTTACTTAACCTTCTCCATCCCTAAATGGCCTATGGTACATGCAAATTTCTAACAGGACCTAATTTGGCAAAAAAAAATGTAGGTAAGCCTCATCCAAAGAAAATTGCCTCTTTGTCAACTTTAATTCATAGAGTTCTAGTATTTTACATTTTAGAGAGCTGTATAAGAAAGATATGTGGGATTGTTAGCTGTGTGACCTTAACCTAGGGGAAAAAGGAGAGATAGGAGATAAGCTTTCGTGTTTATGGAGTCAGGGTGAGTGTGTTCAATGAGAAGAGTCTGACCTTTATGCCTTGGCCTAGATATTTATAATCCTGACAGGGTGTGCAGACTGAGGGAAGAGTAAATTTCCATTCCACTGAGTGACCCAATTTAATCATTTCACATTCAAATGTTGCGTAGTTTCCTGGGTTGTATCATCAAAATTCTTGATCTTTTCCCTTTTTCTTTTCTTTTGACAAACAATTTGTCTTGTAGATATATTGTGTTAAATCCCTTTCATTTCTGTTTTTACAGGAAGGAGAAGCAGATGGAACATTAAAAGAAATCAAGAATAATCTTGAGCCTACAAGAACAGACTCCATTGACATGTATGTGATGAAAGACTAGAGCTGTCAGGCAGAAAGACGGGGCAGTCTTGTCCCTTTGAATCTGTCACTGGAGATCAAACATGATGGGCTGGAGAAGTAACTTTTTATTGATTGTAGGACCTTTCATTAATATTCAGTTTGAATGCTATTTAATGTTATAGTCCAAACTGGTGGAGAATAAAAACAATGTTTGGTGCCTTTTTTAGGCTGACTAATGCAGACTACTCTGTTGTAGGTATTTCATCTCCTTCAGGTAAGAAGTGAAAACAGTCCTGCTCTCCATAAAAAGAAGATATTGCTTTCCAAAGACCCATGTTTGCTAATTTGTTTACCAGTGCTGTCTGACTTGGAGCAGGCTGCCAAGCTTCCATAAATGAGATGTATCACTTTTATCTTCCCTGTTCATCCCTAGTTATAAGCCAGAGTGACCAGTGCTGGTGATCTTCTCTAACAATTATTGTTAATGCTAGCTATCACTGTAGGAGTTTATTGAAAGTGCCCAGGTATCATATCTGCGTAGTCTCAAGTTTACCTGAACCAAGTAGATACTGAGAAACAGACATCTTAAATAATGAAAGGGCAAGACAGGTTCTTGCTAAATTGAGGATGACCTCAAACTTGCAATTCTCCTTAACGTTCTAGGTAGTTGGGATTACAGCCACTGTGTCCAGCACTACATAGATTGTTTGTTTGTTTTGTTTTGGTGGTACTGGAAATTAAATCAAAGGTCTCACATATGCTAGGCAAGCACTGTACCACTGAGCTATATCCCAAGATTGCCTCATAGACTTTTAAAATCTTTTTTTCTATAACTTGATGAATGTACATAGATAATGACTTATAAAAGGTGAAAAAAAATTTCCAATCATGTTTCTAAGCCCTTATATCAGAGAGAAAATATTAGACAATATTCTTTCATCAAAAATGGCTATTGGTATAAGTGAATATTATTCCCTTTTTAAAGTTAAAACTTCTTAAAACTTTTTTCCCCAAGTTCTGTTTTTGGTATCAGAAGACTTTCCTGGAAGTATAGGGAAGGAAGAAAATTGTTTGACAATTTTAAGCCACTTCTTCCTCATTCATACCACATGCAAAGATCAGTTCTTCTTTTAAGCCACTGTGCTATTTAAAAAAAAAACAATAACAACCCTATATTATTTATGAGAATCAGAAGAAATTTGAGATTGATTTCTAGATTTAGAGTTTGAGCTTTGGAGTCCTAGTAATGGAATTCAGTGTTGGTTCTTTATTAGATTTGTGAGCTCCAGTAGTTTACTGAAATAGTGCCTGCCATGGTCATCATAGTCCCTGAATGTTTTTAGAGTGGTAGCCATGGTTTTGTTTGTCATTAGAATGTCTCTATTCAATCATATTTTGAAGTCAAGAAAAATATTTGACAACATTGGCTATATTTCTCTTTGATTACTTGAAACAAAAAGAAAAAAAAATGTTAAGTAAAAGTGACTTTCTCAGATTTGGAGAAAGGCCAGTGTAGTTTATTTGGCTGAGTTCTCTTTGAGACTAGATTTCTGGAAAGCGAGTTTGGGGGTCTTACTTACACAGTGACCATTCAGAAACAGCAAGTTATACTTTAAGGCTAGCTTCTCTGGAGTCTCACTGTCAGTCCCTACACCTTCCCCAGAAAGTAGGGAGGAGCATAGCACTATGGGTCTTGGGACCATCCATCTGTCAGTAGATGAGAATTAATTGGAGAATGTTCTGGAAAACAATTTGTTTAAGCTGGTCTCAGTTATATTGGGTTACTCTAAGTGTTGGTTTTCATTTTTTGATAAAAAACCTTTTAACCTTTATACTGAATGTGGTGGTGTTATCAATATAGGAGCAAATCTGCCAAAGGTGCCAAGAATTATTTGGAATTTGAAGAATTAACTGTGAGCCAGCTCCTGCTTTGCCTAAGGGAAGGAAACCAGAAGGTGGAGAGACTTGAAATTGCACTCAAAGAAGCCAAAGAAAGGTATGAGATAGCTTGACCTGAAATGTGCATACACTGTTTTTTAGCAGCTTTATTAAAATATAACTGAGATACCACACAGTTCTTCCATTTAAAATTTACATTTTAATGTTTTCAGAATATTGTGCAATATTCGGTATTAGGGTTGTGCAATCATTGCCACAATATAATTTTAGAACATTTTTTCCCTCATACCATACAAGAAATCCAAATCCCATTAGTGTGTCTATACTACCCATGCCTCCCAGTAATCTGCTTTCTGTCTCTATACATTTTCCAATTCTGGGCATTTCATATAAATGGAATTACAAAATATGTGATCTTTTGTGATCTCTTATGACTGGCTTCTTTGACCTATCATAGTGATTTTTTTTTTCCTAGTACTCGGGGTTGACTCAGAGCCTCACATGTCTCACATATGCTATCAGTGCATTACATCCCAGCCCCCAATTATTATTTATTTGTTTGTTTGTTTATTTATTTTTGGAGAAAGAGTCTTGCTAAATTGCCCAGACAGGGTGATCCTCCTGCCTTGGCTCCTGAGTAGCTGGGATTAGAGGTGTGCAATATCATGCCCAGTTAGCATAGTATTTTTGAGGTTCATATACAATGTACCATATATCAGTACTTAATTCCTTATTGTTGCTTGTTTTAGTTATCTTTTTCACCACTGTGAATAAAAGACCTGACAAGAACAATTTTAGAAGAGGAAAAATTTATTTAGAGGTTCATGGTTTCAGAGATCCCAGTCTATAGAAGACCAGCTCCATTCCTTAGGGCTCCAGATAAGGCATGGTGTAAAAGTGTGGTAGAGATGAGGCTCATATGATGATCAGGAACCAGGGAGAGAGTCTGTACTTGTCAGATACAAAATATATACCCCAAAGCAACACCTCAATGCCCACCTCTTCCAGCTACACCCTACCCACCTTCAGTTACCACTCAGTTGATCCCCCATCAGGGTATTAATTCTCTGATTGGATTAAGGCCCTCATAAGCCAATCATTTCTTCTCTTAACCTTCTTGCATTGTCTCACACATGAGCTTTTGGAGGACACCTCACATCCAAACCATAACACTGCTGAATAATATTCTACATTGGATATGTGACATTTTTCCATTTATCACTTGATGAACATTTGCTGACTGTGAATGCTTCTATGAACATATGGATATAAGTGTTTGCTTGGACATACGTTTTTAATTCTCTGTGGTGTATACCTAGGGAATGGAATTACTAGTCTGTTTAATATTTGAGGAACTACCAAATCATTTTCCAAAGAGGCTATACCATTGTGTATTACCACCGGCAGTATATGTATATTCCACTTTCTTCACATCCATATCAACACTTGTCTACCATTTTTATTTTAGCCATCTCAGTAGATGTGAATTGGCATCTCATTGTAGTTTTGATTTCTAATTCCCTACTGAGAATCTTTTCATGTTTTAATTTTCTTAGGAGAAATAGCTATTCAAATAGACTAGTTATTTATTTAAAGTATTATTTGCAAATATTTTCTCTCATTCTGTGGGTTGTTTTTATTCTTCCCTTTTCCCTTTCCATTTTTTTTCCTTCATGTTACTGAGCTACTGAGGATTGAACTCAGCTCATGCTAGGCAAATATTCTACCACTATACCACATTCTCAACCCTTCACTTTCTTGATGATATTATTTGCAGTGCAAGAAAAAAATTTTATATTGATGTGATTTCTCTCTTTTAATCTTGTCATCTATGCTTTTAGTACGGTATCTCAGAAATCATTGTCTAACCCAGTATCACAAGGTTTTACTCTGTGTTCTGAAGATTTTTATTGTTTTAGTTTTACATTTCAGTCTGTGGTACATTCTGAATTCATTATTGTGTATGGAGTGATATAGAAGGCTAATTTCATTATGCTCTTGGTTCTATTTCATTGATCTATATGTCCTTATGCAGGCACACAGTCTTGATTATGAGAGCTTTATAGTAAGCTTTGGAGTCAGTAATATGAGTTTTCCAACTTTGCTCTTTTTAAAGATTGTTTTGGCTATTGTTCTTGGTTACTTGCTGTTCTATTTGAGTTTTTTTAAAATACACCTTTATATGGTGCTGAGGAGTGAACTCAGTGCCTCACATGTGCCAGGTGAGCACTCTACTGCTAAGCCACAACCCTAGCCCCTCCATTTGAGTTTTAAGATCACCTGGATAAGCCAGGTATGGTGGCGCACGCCTGTAATCCCAGTGGCTCAAGAGACTGAGACAGGAGGATCACAAGTTCAAAGCCAGACTCAGCAACATAGCAAGCCCCTGAGCAACTCATTCATTAGAGACCCTGTCTCTAAATAAAATAAAAATACAGAGCTGGGGATGTGGCTCAGTGGTTCAGTGGTTGAGTGCCCCTGAGTCTTATTCCTGGTACCAAAAAAAAAAAGAAAGAAAAAAATCACTTGGATGATTTCTGGGGGGGAAAAACAGTCAATTGGAATTTTTTTTTAGGATTTACATTGCATCTGTAGATACAGTTTGGGCTGTATTATCATTTAACAATATCCTGACTCATGAGCATGGGATGCTTTTCCATTTATTTGCATCTTCTTTAATTTCTTCCAATAATGTTTTGTATTTTTAATAGTTCAGGGATTTTTGGTTTTGGGTTTTGTTTGTTTTGGGAGAGTTGTTTGTTTTTGCAGTGCTGGTGATTAAATCTAGGGCCTTGCACATGCTAGGCAAGTCCTGTTTTATACTTTTCAGTACATCCTGCTTTTTTTTTTTTTTTTGCAAAATTTATTCCCAAATATTTTAGTCTTCTTGATGTTATTGTAAATGGAATAGTTTTCTTATTTTTTGGCTTTCTCATTAGCATTACATAGAAATACAACAAACAATTTTTGTATGTAGATTTTATGTCCTATAGCCTTACTAAAGTCATTTATTAAGTGCTAATTTTTTAGTGGAGTCCTCAGGATTTTTTTTATTACAGAATCAGACTGTATCATTAGCATATAGAGATAGTTTTGCTTCTTCGTTTCTAATCTGAATGCCTTTTATTTCTTTTTCTGCCTGACTGCCCTGGCTAGAACTTGTAATGTGGTATTAACTAGAAATGTAGCATCCTTGTTTTGTTCCTAACCTTCAGGGAAAAACTTTCAGTGTGTGTGTGTTTTGGTGGAAGAGTGGTACAGGGTATTGAACCCAAGGCCTGTTGCATGCTCAGCAAATACTTTACCACTGAGCTACACCTCAACTCCAAGCTTACAATCTTTTACCATTAAATCTCATGTTGGCCGTGGGTATTTATCAGTTGAGAAGTTCCTTTCTGTTTCTAGTTTGTTGTAATTTTATCATGAAAGGGGTTTGGATTTTTTCAAATGCTTTTTATGTGTATATGGAGTTGATCATATGGTTTTAGAAAAACTTTTATTAATATAATATATCATATTAATTGATTTTTAGTTAAACCAACTTTGTATTCCCACTTTGTCATATAATATATAATCTTTTTTATATGTTGCTGGGTTCAGTTTGCTAGTATATTGTTGAGGATTTTTATTTCTATATATAAGGGATGTTAATTCATAGTTTTTTTGTGATATCTTTGTCTAGTTTTGGTCTCGGTTAATATTGATTTCATAGAATGAATTGAGAAATGGTACCTCCTCCTCTGGATGCATACACTTTTAAAAATATCCAATGAACCTTTTTATATGGAAATAGCTACAACAAAGCTGTTGTAAACAAAATCATTTAGACTGGTTTCAGGGGTACATTTTTGTGTCTTAAGCATTTTTAAGTCAGTAAGTTCTGTTTATAAATATACTTTTTACAATACAAAGTATATAGTGTAAGATAAAGGGGAGGTTATAAATAGTTTTAGAGTTCTTGTGACTGGAACATTTAATCATAATATACTATGGCATAATTAATTCTCTCAGACGTTATACGTTGCTTTTTTGTTTTGTTTTGCCTTTGTGGTACTGGTGATGGAACCCAGCAGCACTTTACCACTGGGCTCCATCCCCAGCCCTTTTTTTATTTTTATTTTTAGACAGGATCTGGCTAAGTTGCCCTGGCTGGCCTTGAACTTTTGATTCCCCTTTCTCAGCCTCCTAAATCTTTGGGATTATAGGAATACATCACCATGCCTGGCTTAATCTTATACTGCAGCACTTTAAGAAATACTTTCCAGAGCTGGGGATGTAGCTCAGTGGTAGAGCAGTTGCCTAGCATGTTGAGAGGTCCTAGGTTCAATCCTCTCTTAGGAAAAAAGAAAGTATTTTCCAGTTGAAACAGTTTAGAATTTTAACTATAAGAAGATCTCTTCTTAAATGTTAAATATAAGTTTTTTTCCCAGATAGAAAAAATAACATGAAAGGCATGTCAATATTTGTCCAGTGTCTTATTTGGTGATCAACTCTTTTCAAAGGTGAAAAGGGTATGGAGGCATCTAGGTTTTTACCCGACACTCTACTATTCAGAAAAGTTCAGAGTTAATGTCTAGGAACCTACTACCTCCATTGTCTTCTAATGAGGAAATATATTCATCCTTTATTTTCAGTAAATCTAAAAACATAGTAAGTAGTACAAATAAAAGCATTCTTTTTATTATTATAGTTGAGTTTTAAAAGAAGATGTTCTGTGAATGAGACCTTTAATAGCAATGAGTAATCAGTGTGTTTGTATTTTAAAGGCATATTTTTATTTTTCAAGTTCTATATACCATTCCAAAAAGTCAAGTTTAATAAGCAATTCATCTTTAAACCAATATGATTGGCCTTATTAGTGGAAGTATAAACTTAGGAACTTGCTAGGTATAAATAATGATCTTTCTTATGAAGTATATATTACCTACTTTTGAAAAAGTAATAGCTTTCTACCCAGATGCTTAGAGGTATTTATTTCTTCAGATTGTAGGTAATGAGTCAGGCTTGCCTCTGAGATGAAGTCCTTATGCCCCACATGAGCACCCTGTAAAGGTGTCTTTCTCAATAACTCTCAATTTCTGCTTTGTAACCATCTTTCTCTCAATATTTAACAACTGACAAGTCAGTAACTAGCTGCTGAGAATGATGTTCTCTCTGTGGGCATAGGATGTTTTCTTCCTAGATAAGGTAGGTCTGAAACCAAGGAACAAAATCACTGACACATGAACAACCTGCCTTGATTTTCACACACTATACACAGATATGATAAAAACACATGTCAACAAGTCAATTTTCAAGCATTTTCATTAATCATAGGAAATAGTTGTTCTAAATGTACATACCCTAAAAATTACTCTGAAAATTTTTTAGGTGATTTATGGGGAAAGTGAATAGTAGATGACTACAGTTCTGCCAAGATTAATATTTCATGTAATCTGTGTGTTTCTAAACATACTCTGATAGCCAATAAGAAGCAGGAAATTCTATAGGAAATGTAGCCCTGGAAAATGAAAAGGTGGCAATGAAAAGTCAGCTCAAGGTAAAAAATTTAAGAATGTTGGGGCTGGGGTTATGGCACAGTGGTAGAGCGCTTGCCTAGCACATGTGAGGCACTGGGTTCGATCCTCAGCACCACATAAAAATAAATAAATAAAGGTATTGTGTCCAACAACTACAACTAAAAAATAAATATATATTTCTTTAAATTAAGAAAGCTGGGGGCTGGGATATAGCTCAGTTGGTAGAGTGCTTGCGTTGCATGTACAGGCCATGGGTTCAATCCCCAGCACCACAAAAAAAAAAAAAAAAAAAGTTGTAACTAAATCTGTGTCCTGCGTGAGTGGTGGTGTAAAGGCTACCTCTTGCCCCCCACCATCTGGTACTTAACCCATTTATTGGGCTTAGCCAGAGACAGTGCCTGTACACCAATTAGACTTGGCAAAATTTAACAGAATCCAGTGTTATTTTACTTTTTATCATCACTAGGTCCTTATTTAAAAATCAGTTTTACATTCATAAATAAATTGTTCTATAAGCTTCTTAAAGAAAGACAACAGTTCTTTGACAAGCCATTCCAGCTACTTTTTCCTTCTTCTTAAACACTTTCAACATATTTACTTGGTTCTATTGATGTTTACCTTCATATATTAGGCTGAAATTGTTATTTAAATTTTTTTAAACATTTTATACATAATCTATTAATCTCCCACTATGCATGTTGAAGATTTAACTCTCTTACACATCATCAACACCACACAAATATGCTTTTAGATCCCTCCATTTTGTCCTTTCTCTGCCTCTGAAATTGATTATATTGAAATTTAGTTAAGATGATTATTTAGGGCACACACACACACACACACACACACACACTTCACAGGTGAGCTATATTCTATGCCATGACCACATTTCCTTTTGACAAAACTTTTTTTAACCTCTGTGTATAATTCTTTTTTGAAAATTTGCTGCTGAGTGTGGTAGCACAAGCCTGTAATCCCATCTACTCAGGAGAGTGAGGTAGGAGAATTACAAGTTCAAGGCCAGCCTTAGCAACTTAATAAGACTATCTCAAAATAAAATTTTAAAAAAGGATTGAGGATGGAGCTCAGTAGTAGAGCTCTTGCCTGGCATGCACAAGGACCTTAGCACTGCTTTATTTTTTGCTTAAATCTTAGTCCATTTTCTGCTGCTATGCCAGATTACTATAGATGCTTACATCTTAAACAATGTAAGTTATGTGGCTCCTGGTTCTGGAGACTGGGAAGTTCAAGATAGCTTCTGCTGAAGTTCTTCTTACTATGTCATAACATGGAAGAAGGGCAAGCAAGCATGCACAATAGAAAAGCAGAGCTACTGTCATTGTTTTATTAGGTTCTCACTCCTGAGCATAAAGCAGCTTTAATCCATGCATGACTATACTGTTATGGTGCCAATGGCAATTAATCAACATTAAGTTTCAGTTTCAGAGGGCAACTTTCAAACCCTAGCACTGAGTTTCCCCATGTACTCTCTTCCAATGAGGAAATCTCTTAATTGCTTTAGAAACATTGATAGCATAGTAGTGTGCTTTTCTTACAGAATCTTCTCCAAGAGTCTCACGTGGTCACTTCTGGGTCCTGCTGTATTGTAGTCATCTCAACATCATCCTTTGGCATCATCCTGTGGAATTCCTTCAGCTCTCCAGTGTTGGATCTCATTTCCTTAATCCAGTGCCTTTCTTACTCTTTTACTAAGTAGTGTACACTACATCTCCATACTGAGAATATGAGGAGTATGTTTTCTGAGGTCTACTTATCAAAAAAAAATCTCTCTACCTTTATACTTAATGGATAGTTGGGTTAGATACAGAAATTCTAGATTGGACATTATTTTCTTTCCAGTTTTTGAAAGCATCACCTCATTATATTCTAGCTTCTAGATTTACTGATGAGAAATCTATTGCTACTCTGATCCTTATGTTTTTGTATGAAAACTTTTTGTTTTTCCTCTTCTCTGGAAGTTCTTTGCTTTGTCTCAAGTATTCTGAAATTTCACATGTGCTCTGGGTGTGAGCCTATTTTTTAACCTTGCACCTTTTAATTCTGCAAACTCATGACCTTAACTGAGCAACATCCCCTGCCCTTTTAATTATTTATTTTGAGACAGGGTCTTGCTAAATTGCTCAGGGCCTCACTAAGTTTCTGAGGCAGGCCTTGAACTTGTATTCCTCCTGCCTCAGTCTCCTGAGCTACTGAGATTACAGATGTATCCTACTACTCCTAGCTGACCTTCATTTCTTGAAAAATAATCTGAAATTAAAGATTATTTCCTAGCCTCAATTTTCTTTTTCCTTTATTTGCCTTCCTAGAACCTACTATTGTTTTATTTTAAATTGGATCTCCTGGACTCATCATCTGATTTTCTTAACTTTTACCCATCTTTGGCATCTCTTTTTCATTTTCCTTTTTCAGTTTTCATTTCTGTTGTATTGGGGAAGTGCTCATGCGTGGGTGCACATGTGCACATGCTTGCTTGCTTTTAATGTTCCTTTCTCAATGGCTGTAGTATATTTCCTATGTCTCTGGGGACAGCACCCCCCACCTCCCACTGGCATATTTTACTTTCAGTAGAAAATATTTGTTTTATTTTAAGGTAATCTTGTCTGGAAATCTTGGCTGTTTGATGAGATTTAAGAGTAAGTAAGAGTTAGAAGTTACCTGAAGTTTTGTGAGTATCTGGAGGGAGATAAGCTGGGAGGTTTCTGGGGAAACCCCAAGTCTGAAACTTAAAATATTTTCCCTTTCCTGGTCAGATTCTCTTGAGAAGATGCTTCTAACCTCCGGCCTAAAGCACATTTTTCTAGATTCCAGTGTTCTTGAGATGAGTAGGTAAAGAAGGCTGAGGCCTTCAGCTGATCTATGTAAATCGTTCCCTTTTAAATAGGAGGCCCAATCTCTCTGCTTAACTCTTCTGAGTCCAGAATCCTTTATGTTTTATCTTCCAACACTTTTTAAACAGGTTCCACCTTTACCACATCCAGAGGTACCCATTACCCCCAGCTTTTTGGGAGTTTCCACAGTGTAAATCATGTTATTCTCTACTGTTGGCTTAGGGTCACCTTCCTGGAATGCTGAGCCTGTCCCCACTCAGTTCTGTGCTTTCTAAATTTTGTTGTTTGCTTTCACCTTCTCTTTGTCCTTATAGTTACATAGGTTTTTGAAAGTCATTTTCATAGCATCTGGGGTAGGAGAAGAATTATATGCACATACTCGACCTCCTATGTTTAACCAGTCTCCATTTTTTTCATTTGCGCTGGGTTGGCTTTCCTGCGATTATGACTCAGTGTAAAATGGTGCTGTGTCTGTTTGCTAAGGAACTTAAAAACTCAGATGGATCCTAAAGGAAAAGTCTTTCCTTCTGCTAGTTTCTTATAAGTGAGACAAACACACTCATGGAAGACACATACATATCTACATGTGTATACACACACAAGAAATTTTAAAAAAATCTTTTTGGATAGTCCAGTCACATGAAAACAGGCAGTATTCAAAATGAGTTATTTTTGGCTTTTACTTCTACATACATTCATATCTTAAATCACATCAGTTCTAGGCAGTCTTAGGATAAAAAACAAAACTAATGCTGATACAGTGAATGTAGAGATTTTTGAAAAACCCTGATTCTTTACCCAGATTTTGAAGTGTTCTTTGGAGTGCTTCTGTAATTGCTACTCCTTTTGAGTCGAAAGTAACTTTTTAACATTCTGTAATTTTTCAGAATTTCAGATTTTGAAAATAAAGCAAATGATCATTCTGAAGTTGAGACCCAGACAGAGGGCAGCAAAGAAAAAGAGAATGAAGAGGAGAAAGACACAGAAACTGTGGGTACTAAGATTCCAAGACTGCTGATACACTGAATGGATAAAGAGTAGTACAGTGGCTGCAATGTGTATTAGCTTTAAAAAAGTGTAGAAATAATATTAATAGTAAAATATTTTTATTTCTCTAATATTTCTTGTCCTGGTTTGAGCTTCACTCAGTGTTAATTATAGTGAGATATATTCCAATCAATATTCTACAAAATCATTCCTATACCTTTTCTTGTCTCCTAAATCCTTATGTGAGAAAGCTCACTACATTAAAAAGGAACTTCATCTACTTTATAATGAGATCACTTGAGGATATAACTCAGAAAATTGTAGGATTCAAAGACCCTGGCTGTATGCCTCTAATGGTAGGAACGAAGTAGTTGGAATGAGAAAGGTCCATGTATTCACTATTGTGTGAAACTTAGAGATGTATCTTTCAGTCTGAAGAGTCTTAAATTTAGAAAGAGTTAATGAAACCATAAGTTATGATAGCCATGTGATAGTTACTTATATAAAATAGCCATTTTAACTAATGGACTTATTGTGTTATTATCCTGGGCAAGTTATTTATCAAATGCCTACTGTTGGCCATATGATCAAGAGAATCGAGACTATTTAGAAAACAGATGTAGAGACCACTAGTGTGTAATAGCACTCTATTGATAAAAACTAATTCAACTATCTATCTATTACTCATTTATGAATTACAGACTGCTAGGGAAAAGGCTGTATAACGAAAATGTTGTGCAAACTAGAAACACAAATTAGCAAGGAAATATGTAGATGAATTGCTAGACAATAAATAGGGATATGCTTTGATACTCTATAATCTCTATGATCACTGAGCCATATGTAAGATTACTTTTTAGTGATAAAAAATCATTATCAGAAGAGCATCCAAATTGATTAATGCTCTATTAGGAAGTAGAATTGTATCCAAAATATTTCTTTTCATGCAAGATATTTGGGGTTGTAATTGTGAAAACTTTATTCATTTACCAGTCAGTCTTATTTCCATACCATGGTTGAGACTCTTCTCACAAAGAAGTCCATTTAATCTTGTGATAATCAAGTGTGAATGTTTGGTATTTCCTGTATGATAGGTTGGAAGCGAAGTAGAAATGTTGAACCTTCAGGTGACATCGCTGTTTAAGGAGCTTCAAGAGGCTCATACAAAATTGAGTGAAGCTGAGCTGATGAAGAAGAGACTTCAAGAAAAGTAAGAGAAAGAGGTTGCTTTTATCCTCTTTGGAAAAATACACATTTTTTAAAAATATGTTACTATATATAAATATAGTTCTATTATGTTTACTGTATATTTACTATAATTTTATGTATGTTACTATGTTTCTGAGTAAAAGAAAAACAGGCCTAAGTAAAATATGAATTCAGAAAACACTAATGTACAGGTTAATGTATGAGCATAAACTTCTTGTTGTAATATGAAAGAATGGGGACTTTGATTCTAAGTATACTAGCCTATGTGCCACTTGTGCAAAGTAGCAAGCCAGATTTCCTATACTGTGACAACACTGATGTGAACACACACAAAAGAAAGCTGAAAAGAGACTGAGTGAAGTTTAGGGAAAAGTCCATCTCAATCTATTGTTTAATCAATCATTAAAGCTAGCATATAAATTGAGAATTTTACATTTGCTTATTTCTTTTGATCTAAGAAGTTACCCAAAATCTAGCAAATGTAACTTGTTTGTGTTATTATCTTGGGCAAGTTATTTATTTAACCTCTCTGTACCTAAGTTTTGTCATGTGTAAATTATGTGTCATAATTTCTCTAGTGTACACCAAATTAAATAAGATATTTAATGTGCTTGGCTTTAATGCTTTGCACATAGCTGTCATTTATTTGTTTTGCTAGTATTATATAGAAATTCTTTTTAAATTTTTTTTTAGTTGTTGGTGGACCTTTATCTTATTCATTTATTTATACATGGTGCTGAGAATTGAACCCAGTGCCTCACATATGCCAGGCAAGTGTTCTACCATTGAGCCACAACCCCAGATGGAAATTCTCTTTTTGATATTTAAAAGAACCTGTGGGGGCTTCCTTTTTCCTTTGTTGAGTCTTTATTAGAAATCCAAGTTTTGGTGATTGACAGAACTTTTTCAAATATAAAAAGTACCAATGGATCACTATATGAGAATCACTGCTAACCAACTTCTACTTTGGTCTGTATTTAGCTAAGAAAAATATGACTATATACACCAATTATTCAAAGATGACACTACCTCATATCACCTTAGATCTGTACTTATTTATTTTTAGACATAAAAGTTCAGAGATATGGACATGTCTAGTAAAGAAGCAGATGGATAAAATATTTTACTTTACATTCATAAATCTTACAGTCCTTAAACTTCTTTGAATTTAACCTTTCTTGGGATGTGTTGAAAAGCCACTGAGAAGTGAAATTGCATTGTTTAATCTTCATCTTTCTTAGATGCCAGGCTCTTGAAAGGAAAAATTCTGCAACCCCAGCAGAGCTGAATGAAAAGCAAGAGCTCGTTTATAATAACAAGAAGCTAGAGCTGCAAGTGGAAAGCATGCGATCGGAAATCAAAATGGAGCAAGCTAAAACAGAGGATGGAAAGTGAGTACACTGTGCAGAATGGAAGCTTCCCCAAAAGAATACCTTTTAAAAATACAGATTGGAATTAGGAATAGAGAATAAATTCACAAAATTTGTTTTTTATTTATCTGAAAGAGTACTATGAGATACTTTGGAGGGATAAAATTTTAAAGGTTTATTATAACAAAATTATTCTTTGTATCTAGCTTGTTTTTTTCTCTAGAAACTATTGTTTTGAGAGTAAGAAAATGCTAGTAAATGGTGGAATTATAAAGATAAGAGGAGATTTTGCTACTGGAGTGTTCAGAAGATGATTTGGAGGCAAGGCTTTGAGTTTGTGATATCCTCCTGCAAGATTCTGTTTATTAATATCTTTTTTAATAGGTCCAAGTTAGCCATTCTACAGTCAACACACAACAAGCTTCTTCAAGAACATAATAATGCATTGAAAACAATTGAGGAACTAATAAGGAAAGAGGTACTCATACAAAAATAGATTATTGATTAATGGAAACTGTTGAACATTTTATACCTAAAAAAAGTTAACTGAATCCTTGACTAAGTCCCATTTCAAAAGTTGCTTTTCAGTTTATAATTGATTTCTTGTGTCATAATATTTACAACTTCTCACTTATGTACAATGTGCTTTGTGTTACAAAGGTAGTGTTCATGTCCCACCATCAGAAAGTAAGCATTTGTATTTCTCAGAGTAGGTAGAGAGAGCTGTAGGAGAGCTAACAGCATAGGCTCCTATGTGCACAGTGTACAGTAAGACAGCTGGCTAGGGCTGGAGGGGCCATTCACATGCGATTGTACAAGGCCAGTTTGCCTGCCTGCAGTGAACTTGGAACCCTGGACTCACTGATTTGCAATTTAAATTGATAATAATGCCCAGCATGGTGTGATAATTTATAGACAATGGAAACTTTGAATTAGAAAGTCTTTGAATTTATATTCTTATAAATATACTCTTTTTTAGAGGGGGTTGTTTTGTTTTAATTGCTTTTATTTTTTAAATACACGACAGTGGAATGCATCACAATTTTTATTACACATATAGGAGATATAAAGAATGTTCATACCAATTCATGTCTTCATGTATGTACTTTGGATAATGATGTCCATCACATTCCTCCATCATTGCTAACCCCCTGCTCCCTCCTTTCTCCTCCCACTCCTTTGCCCTATCTAGAGTTCGTCAATTTTGGAGGGGGTTATTATGTCTCTATTTCAGTATTATCTTTTAAAAATATTGTTGTTTTAAATCAGGAAACTGGGCTGGGGCTGTAGCTCAGTGGTAGAGCACTTGCCTGGCATGTGTGAGGCACTGGGTTCCATTCTCAGCACCACATAGAAATAAATATATTAATAAAGATATTGTGTCCATTTACATGTAAAAAAATATTTTAAATAAATAAATAAATCAGGAAACTATGATTTGCAAGCCATATGTTAAATGAATACAATTTTCTGAGTAAGTTGGTATTGCTAATGAACAGACTAATTTAAAGCTAATGATTTTTATTTATTTTATTTTTTATTTCTTATGTATTTATTTGGTACTAGAGAGGGGCACTTTATTACTAAGCAACATCCCCAGATCCTTTTATTTTTCCTTTTGAGACAGGGCTTCCCTAAATTTCTTAGTCTTGGCTCAAACTTGTTACCTTCCTGCCTTAGCCTCCCAAGTAACTGGGATTATTAGTGTAAGCCACTATGCCCAACAAAACTAATTATTTTTCTTAAAAAAAACTAAAGGTTTATCTGACATTTTACTAACGTAGGCTACATTTCTAGAATCAAATTGTCTTTTGTAGTCAGAAAAAGTGGACAGGGCAGTGCTGCAGGAACTAAATGCAAAACTGGAAATGGCAGAGAGGGCACTGGCTTCCAAGCAGCTTCAAATGGATGAGATGAAACAGACCATTGCCAAGCAGGAGGAGGATCTGGAAACCATGGGTGTCCTTAGGACTCAGGTAAGAAATGCTGTGGAACCTCAACTGACTGGGATAAGCCCCAATTAGATTTGCAAATACAAAAGTGATGGTGTTTAATACACACACACACACACACACACACACACACACACACACACACTATTTATATTCCTTCCTCCAGTGAAATTTTTTCTTTTTTTTTTGAGAGAGAGAGAGAGAGAGAAACTTTTTTTTTTTTTTTGGTAGGCGAGCGCTCTACCACTGAGCCACAATCCCAGCCCCACCAGTGAAATTTTAAAAACTTTTAAATTGATAAAAAGTGTGCCAATGTCGTGTGTGTGTGTGTGTGTGTGTGTGTGTGTGTGTGTTGCTAGGGATTGAACCCAGGGTCTCACGCATGCTAGGCAAATGTTTACCACTGAGTTATACCCCCAGTCTGCAGAGTGCACAGCTCCAATGAATTTTATTTATCTATGTTCCAAAACTGATAGGAAATTGGGTTATTTTCATTTGTGGCATTATAATTAATGCTATTGTGACATTCCTGTAGATATCTCTGTTCTCATATGCACTCATTTTCTGTTGGGTTCACACCTGGGAGTGGAATTGCTAGTTCACAGGCTATGCATATTACTCAGTGTAGTAAGTAAACAGTTTTCCAAAAGTGGTTGTACCACTTTGGAAATGTTCACTCCCATCCACAGAGTTTCCATTGCTCTACGGTCCTGTATTATCAGTCATTTTACTTTTATTGATTGGTGGTATGTAATGGGTATCACATTTATTTGGTGTTTCATTGATGACTAATGAGTTTGAGTACTCTTTCAAATGTTTGTTGGTCTTCTAGGTATTCTTTTTTGTGATGTGCCTAATACAACTTTGCTCATTTTTTCTTTAGGTCTGTCTGGCTTTTTCTTGATTTTATCAATTCCATATATAGTCTGATATAAGCCCTTATCATTGTTTTGCCTTTTCACTCTCATAAAGTCTTTTTTAAAAATATTTTTAGTTGTAGAGGCACACAATACCTTTATTTTATATATTTATTTTAAGGTGGTGCTGAGGATCAAACCCAGTGCTTCACATGTGCTTGGCAAGCACTCTATCACTGAGCCACAGCCACAGCCCTCAAAAAGGAGTCTTTTGATGAGAAAGGTTCTTAACGTTAAAGTAGTCCAAGATACCAGTCTTTCCATTTATAATTAGTATCTTTTTTGTGTCCTATTTAAAAAACTTTGACTACTCCAAGGCCAAGAAGATACTCTTTCTGTTGTCTTCTAAACACTTTTCCATTTTATCTTTTACATTAAGATCTCTGAAGTATCAGAAATTGACTTTTATATAGAGAGTGAGATAAGAATTTGGATTTATATTTTTTTCCTATGTGTCCAGGTGTCTTGGTTCCATTTAGTAAAAATCCATCTTAAGTGCTCTGCTTGCTCCTTCTTCTTGTGAAGGGTATGAATATCAACAGATGGAGATCATTGGAGCCATCTCAGGGGCAGAGAAGTAGTTTGCGAAAATGGAATTTTGTCTAGGTTCATATACTGATATGGCCCATTTTCCCCAAGATTAAGAGCTATGAAACTAGCTTATAAAATAAGGATAGCAATTCTACAATCCCAGGACTTTTTAAAAAATATTTTACTAGTTGTTGATGGACCTTTATTTTATTTATTTATATGCGGTGCTGAGAATCAAACCCAGTGCCTCATACATGCTAGGTAATTGCTCTACTACTGAGCCACAACCCCAGCCCCAATCCCAGAACTTTTGATATAGGAAATGAACATCCTACATGGAGACTTCACATGTGTCTGGAATTCAATAAATCGCATCTTTCTATTATTTTAAATTTAGCTTAAGAGCAGCATTCTTAAGTTTATCTAGCAAAGTGAATAAGCCACTTACTATATTATATTAGTTCTGAATATCTTTTTAAAAAAAGAAACGGGAGTATTTTACTAAATTAATGTTGCATATATTGCCTAAACCACCTATATCAATGCAGTTTCAGGGTGTGTTTAAGCACACATGAACACACAGTTCATATCTACTATTTGAAAGCATTGGAAAGTTGTGATTGTTATACTAGTTTCTAGCAGGAGTATGTACCTATCATTCACAAGGCCTACCTGAGGATGCAGCACTGTCAACCTAATAAACAGGTGATCTGCAGGGAATCCACATTCATCTCAGTAGAAACTTCTTTACTTTTTTCCTCTAACAGATGGAGGTTTATTGTTCTGATTTTCATGCTGAAAGAGCAGCAAGAGAGAAGATTCATGAAGAAAAGGAGCAACTTGCATTGCAGCTGGCAATTTTGCTAAAAGAGAACAACGTTTTTGAAGATGGAGGCAGGTAAGGTAAAGCAAGAGAAAGGTAGAACATATGATGACATGGGTTGTAGGAGAGGTTACCTGTCAAAGATGTTTCCTAATTTGAGCTATTAGAATCACTCTACCTACACTTGTGTTCCTATACTTGAGATTGGCTTATTAACAAAGCTGGACAAAGACTTGTAGGAAACCAGTCAAGTTCTTGGCTTTGAGAAAAGCTGTGAAAATATGTTTTATGTGTCCCAATGTTACCCTGCTAGTCGTGAGTGAAATATACTATACACTTTAAATTTTTAATGTGCTTTGAAAGAAAATACTTCCAAAATTTCTCCTGATTTTTAAAATTTCATCTTGGGAAAGTTTTAAATTCTAGAAAAATACAGAGGAAAAAAAATAATACACAGCAAAATATACACAATCCTGAATTGACAATTGCTAGTGTATCTTTTTTTTTTTTTTTTGGCTTCAATTTATTTATTTATTTATTTTTTTTTAAATTTGTTTTTAATATTTATTTTTTAGTTTTCGGCGGAAACACTTGTTTGTATGTGGTGCTGAGGATCGAACATGGGCCGCACGCATGCCAGGCGAGCGTGCTATCGCTTGAGCCACATCCCCAGCCCCAATTTTTTTTTTTTATTAAAGGGAGCTTTAGATAAAGTTGAAGTCTCTTGTTCCATATCCTTCATTTATTCTCCTCTTCCTTTGCTTTGTACAAACAGAGTTTAGTGGGTAGCCTTCCCATCTATATTATACATGTGTACACACACACTCCAATATAATATTTTAAAACAATATTATTTCTCTTTGTTTAAATTATAAAATAATCAGTGTAGAGATTATTCTGTAATTTTATGTAACATTGTAACTTCAAATGCTGTCTATTTTGATTCATGCTGATTTAATTCATTGTTTTAATACCTGTGTAGTGTCTTAGTATTGAAATGTGTAACTTAATTTCTAATCCATTCTAGTATCAATTAATAGTTTGGTTATTTCCTAGTTGATTTTTAAAGATCTTACTTTTACCTCATAGTATGCTGGTGCCATTATTATATAAAAATCAATTTAATCTCACATTCTGATTTTTATGAACCTTGACACTGTTGTTTGACACTGTTGTTTTTCCCCCATACTTTTGTTGACTTCTTCATGTTGTCATGGTTCAGAGTTACACAACATCACAAATAGTATTGCTTTTAATCCCAGTAGGCAATCCTTGATGGAAATGCAGAGCCGGCATGGGGCAAGAACAAGTGACCCAGACCAGCAGGCTTACCTCATCCAAAGAGGTGAGTCACATTCAAGTCTAGGATATTCAGGGAATATCCTACTAAGAAGGTACCCAAAGAAAAAAAATCCCACTATATTCTATAAAAGGGATTTCAAATTAAGCTACCCAAAATACAGCACCCTTCAGTCTTATTCCCCTAGTACTCAGATCTCTATCCATTACTAATACCAGGCTTGACTCTTCACCCCATGCTGTAGACTACAGATATTAGGCGATCTGCATCATCCCCTTCAACTCATCTTAAGCCCCAACTTGCATATATTTATTTGTGCAATATCCTTCATGTAGATGTCCTTTCCATATGCATATTCCTATCTTCTTATAGTCTCCTTCCAATTAATTCTGACCCCATCTTTAAAACCCTTTTCAGACAGGCACACTCCTATAATCCTAGTAATTTGAGAGGTTAAGGCAGGAGCATCACAAATTCAAGGCCACCTGGGCTATTTAGCAAGACCCCTTCTCAAAATAAAAAAATAAAAAGGAATGGGATGTAACTCAGTGGTAGAGCACCCCTGGGTTCAATCCTCAATATGGCCCCCAAATTTTTTTTTCATATTTTCCTGTCTCCAAATTGTCACCTTTCTGAACTTCCAAAATACTTCATTCTTCTGCTATCTTTTAAGTATTTATATGTTGAAATATGTATTTAAGACCTCTGTTAAATGATGAGCTCCCAGGACAGTACATTTTCATGTTTTAGTACTGGAGATTGGACCCAGGAGTGCTCTACCACTAAGCTACATTCCCATCCCATCCCTTTTTATTTTTTATTTTGAGAAAGGCACTGGCTAAGTTGCCCAGGTTGGTCTTGAACTTGTGATCCTTCTCTCTCAGCTCCCAGGTCACTACTACTGCAGGTGTGCACCACCATACCTGGCTTGTGAACTATATATTTTCACCCAATACCTGGTGTTTTGCACATAATAATGTTAGCATTTTTTTTTGAGAGTGTACTATGTTCAGGCACTTTGCTGATCTAACTTCATCTGTATTATTTAATTTGATTTTCAAAAAATTCCATGAGGTCTATATTATCATTTTCTAAAAAAGATAAAACTAAAATTTTGACAAAGTTAAGTAACCCAGGATTATAAGGCTAGTTGGGAGCAGAATTGGAAAAGGAACCAAAGGTTATCTGACTTTGACTACTACATAGTATACTGCGTATAACAGATATCATTTAATTTTGTAATACATCCAGATTTTAATTTCCTAAGTAAAACTTATCATGATACATTTTAAAAGAGTGGTGCTCTATTTAGTACATGATTTTATACTTGTATAATACACTAATAATATGCTAGTAATAATGTTCTGTAACTTATAATGAATCACTGAAAGGAAAATATTAACCTTAATTCTAGGTATTAAAAAATAAAATTCCAAGATCAAAGACTAACATAGCTAGAAAAAATAAATTAATGTCAGTGCCATCAAGTAGAGTCTGAGTTCAGGATCCCCCTTAAATATCACAAAAAAGCTTTAACATTTTTGTTTGTAAATATTTTACCAGGTTAAGTCTCTTCACATACCAACAACTATTGAAATGGAACTGCAATATTTTCATCAGTAAGGATACAATATTAACACATATAATGAACTGATAAATCTCAGGGAAATTTCTCTGAGTAACTTTTTTTATTTCCTATCTCTCCCCTTCCCCCACCCGCCAAAGTCCTATTACAGGAACAACAACAAAAAGATTAAACATTAGAGGTAGTAATTCAGGTTAAAAATATACATAGGATTATTCATGGGGAAAATGCAGAAAAGCTACCATTTGATCTAACAAAAATATTACCCTAGGTCTGGGGTTGTGTCTCAGCGGTAGAGCTCTCACCTAGCATGTATAAGGCCCTGGATTCGATCCTCAGCACCACATAAAAGTAAATAAAATAAAGGTATTGTGTCCAACCACAACTAAAGAATAAATGTTTTTTAAAAAATATTACCCTGAGGCATTTTTTAGCATCAGTGGGTATAGCTATGTTTTTCTCAGACCTACAGCTGCCCACTCCTTTGATTTCTTTCCACTCATCTGATTTCTCTCTCTCCCTCCTTCCTTCCTTTCTTTTTTCTTTCCTTTCCCCCATCTCCCCCATCAGTACTGGAGATTGAATCTGTCACTACCATGCCTGTCTATTTGTGTCTGATTCTAGAAATGTCCAACAAGGTAGTCTGGGGTCAAATTGTTGCCGACTCCTGTCCCAAAGGCTGTGATTCTGCCCATCAGAATGTACAGGGGATTTTTAAAGAGGTGATTCAGAGAAAATAAGATTAAGGAGAAGATCAGGAAGGAGAAGATTAGGGAAAAGAAGATCAGGAAGGAGAAAATCAGGGAGAAAAAGGTTGGAGGGGAAAAAAAAAACATGTAAGATTCAAAGCCACAAGGGATATTAGTCAAAGCATCAAGTGAACCCATTACAAAAAGGTCAGTCTCTTGCACGTGGATGTCTTAAGGAATGGTTGTTTTTCTTTATAAGGCAAAAAACTATTTACATAAAAAAGACTAGTCAGTTTCTGACTTATATTTATAATCTAAAAATCTTTTTCTATATATACATTTATTCTTGTCTAAATAAGCTGTTTTGTCATAAAAAATATTCCAGAAGACTGTCATAAGATTTTTTCAGTGTCTTAACAAAACTGATTTAAACAAGTCTCATCATTGTCATCAGCAGCAGCCGTTTCAGTGTGTGCTCTGTTCTAGGACTTGGTTAAGTGACAGGGAATAGAAAGGCATAAGGTGTGGTCAAATCCTTAAGGGCTGTGGTATAGCTGGAGACAGAATGTGCACATAAAAACATAAATTCATGTACAAGATAGCATGTAGGTAAATAAAAGGAATAATGGTGAAGATAAGAGAAAAAGCTGATCATAAAGGCACAGAGAGTTAAGAAAAGCCTTGAAAAAACATGATTCTAACCTTGACCTTGAAGCTAGGATTTGTATAAGTGAAGTGTGAGAGTAAAAGGGCAAAGGCAGAAATGAGTGTGATCAGTTGATAATAAAAACTGACTAAGGGGCTGGGAATGTGGCTCAAGCGGTAGTGCGCTCACCTGGCATGCATGCGGTCCGGGTTCGATCCTCAGCACCACATACAAACAAAGATGTTGTGTCCGCCAAAAACTAAGAAATACTAAAAAATTCTCTCTCTCTCTCTCTCTAATAAAAAGGGGGGGGGCGACTGACTAAGCTTTTTATGGATTGGAGAGGCAAGAGGCAGAGGGAACCTTGAGCAGGCTGCTATAGCACCAAAAAAAGCACACATGGAGGCAACAATGCAGAACCAACAATGCCAATGGCAGACTACAACCCACAGGCCAAATCTGGCCTGTCATCTTTTTTTTTTCCTTTTAAAGAGAGAGAGAATTTTCTAATTTTTTTTTTCCAGTGGACACAACATCTTTATCTTTTTTTTTTTTAATTTTTACGTGGTGCCAAGGATCAAACCCAGCATCCCACACATGCCAGGCGAACGCGCTACCTCTTAAGCCACATCCCCAGCCCCCTTTCATCTGTTTTTACAAATCAATTTAATTGGGATGTAATCATGCCCTTTTGTTTGCATCCTGTCTTTGGCTGCTTTCATGCTACAGTGGCAGAGATTTTATTTATGATTTGCAAGGTCTATATAATATTTTCTCTTTGGTCCTTTACAGAAGTTTGTTGACCCTTAATCTCAAGCAATGAGACAATTAGAAAGCCCTGCTTCAAAAATCATACTTTATAATGAATACAATAGTAAAATATGCTTCTTGGGCCGGGGATGTAGTTCACTAGTAAAGCACTCATCCAGTATGCAAAGACCTGGGTCTGGGTCTCAGCACTGAAAAAATGTAAAGAAAATAGAAAGTTTCTTAAGTTTATTTTTTGTCTGAAAGTCTTACATGTTATTGAATTCAGTAATATATTTTGAAGCAAATAACAATGGTAAAGATCCAAAAACAAAGTTTTGGGGATGAACCAAAGTATGGGCTGAGACTCTAAAAATATAAAATGATTTGCTCTGGTCCAGAAAGGTCAGGCCAGAGAGATGCCCAGGAGACAGAAGTAAATTTCAGCAATGATCACAGTTTGTATTGATCTAGGACCTCCCCAGAATAAGAGCTTGTTTCAGACATTCTCTGATTTAGGTTTCAACTTCAACCTAACTCAGAAATGGGGGTAATAACAGGATTCATTCTTCAGTTGTTTCTCTTCACTGATTTTCCTTGGGCAATTCATATTCTTTCCAAGGCTCTTCTCATAGGTTACTCATTCAGGAGGCCTTTCGGCATTGGGGCTCTTTTCTTTCTTTCTTTTTTTTCTTAAAAAGAGAGAGATGGGGCTGGGGATGTGGCTCAGGCGGTAGCGCGCTCGCCTGGCATGCGTGCGGCCCGGGTTCGATCCTCAGCACCACCTAATACCAACAAAGATGTTGTGTCCGCCAAGAACTAAGAAATAAACATTAAAAGTTCTCTCTCTCTCTCTCCCCCCTCTCTCACTCTCTCTTTAAAAAAGAGAGAGAGAGAGAGAGAGAGAGAGAGAGAGAGAGAGAGAAAATATTTTAATATTTATTTTTTAGTTTTTGGTGGACACAACATCTTTCTTTGTATGTGGTGCTGGGGATCGAACCCAGACCGCATGCATGCCAGGCAAGCGCGCTTGAGCCACATCCCCAGCCCAGGGCTCTTTTCTTACTCCTACCCAACCCCACAGTGCCTAACACTCTCCCCCTTCCACACCACCACTGCCCCTTCTCTTACCTGGCTTCCCCACCTTGTCAGTACCCTGCACATCCGTGAGGGCTTACAAATATCTGCTGAATAAATGGGAGTGAGTGTTTTGCTTCTAAAAAGGTGCATACTGTTGCAGGAGACCCCTCCCATACTCTCATGATTCCTTCCTTCATATTCTCTCCCTCTTTTGCTTCTATCCAGAACCTATATTGTCTTGTACCTAGAACTGAAACTATGTCTTTACAAAGACTCACACCTGGAATACAGTTTAAATCCTGAAAAATAGAAAAGTAGCAGATACTATCTGTGGAGATTTCTCTGTGCATACAATGATGTCTTCCATTAAAGAGTGTGGTGATGTACACCTGTAATCCTAACTACTTTGGAGGCTGAGGCAGGAGGATCCTAAGTTCAAAGCCAGTCCTCAGCAACTTAGCCAGACCCTCAGCAACTCAGCAAGACCCTGTCTTGAATTAAAAAAAATAAAAAGGACTGGGAATGGTATCCCACTGGGTATTGATTATCAAGTTTAACAGATGACCAAATTAACCAAGTTATTAAAATCAAGCAGAAGTTCTTTTCAAGGTGGAACTAATGAAACTTTTCATTTCCTGCTTATTCCCAGGAGCTGAGGATAGGAACTGGCGGCAAGAGCAATCACAAGAGTATTCCAATTCATTCCTGTCCCAAGTGTGGAGAAGTTCTGCCTGACATAGATACATTACAGATTCATGTGATGGACTGCATCATTTAAGTGTTGATGTTTCACCTTCCCCCAAACTGTTGGTAAATGTCAGCTTTTTCCTCCAAGACTTGTACTTTTGTCTTATTTGTTTTCACTCAAATATTTTGCCTCATTATGCTTGTTTTAGGAGGGGAAAAAAAAAAAGATGTATCAATTCTAAGAGAACACTTTGTGGATTTCCATGAGCTCACAAAATGGAATCCTTAACCACTGCCCTTCTTCTGATAATAAATTCAGTAGTTTTTATGTTCTGTTCATGTGGGCAAATACACTATTCATACAGTTAAATAGCATGAGATGTAATGTGACAAGGCTCAGGGAATTATAAGAAACTTCACTGATAAATTTAAGAATCTTTTAAGGAGGCAGAAAAAAATGAATTGGTCACAGATTTAATCAGGAAAAATGTCTTTGAAATAGTTTTAAAGCAAATTATTGTTATTATTTATCTTTTGAAACTGGATCTTTTGGGTTTATGTGTTTTTGTATATGTTGTAGTTTTATTGTAGCCAAAGTTATGACATACCACTTTTTATCTAGTATGGTGAGCTTTCAGTTAATATTAGGACAAGTGAAAAAATGTTGGCATACATGACATTAAGTTCCTTGGATTTCTCTTTTTTCTCTCTCCATATGTGTTAGAAAAGGAAACTTGCGATGGAATTCAGGGTCACTCTAGCACTAAGCTACATTATGCCCCACTTCTCCTAACCCCACTTTTTTTTTTTTTTTTTTGAGATGGTCTCGCTAAGATTCACAGTCTAGCCTAGAATTTGCCATCCTCTTGCCTCAGCCTCCTGAGTCACTGGGATTAAGTTCACTAGATTTCTTATCATTCACAGTGTTAAATTTCATAATCACAAGAAGTAGTTATTGAAAAATAAAATTTTGTTTATGAATCTTTTATATTGTTCATATATAATTGATTTCATAGTATGCATTTTCTGTATTAAGCTCATTTAGCTTAATATAAGCTTAATTAGTAAGATATATTTTATTAATTTGATAAAGATGAGCAAGATCCTTTTGTTGAGACCAACACATGTTTGAATTAGAGAGTTATTCTTACTAAGAAGGTGAACAGATAGGGATTTGCCTTATTTTAGACCTGTAGTTTACTAACTAGTACTTCACAAGCCATAGAAGTTAACAATATCTTTATGTATCCAGTTCCTAAAACATTTAAGAGATAACTAAAAGATCTCCTTTGTATTTACCATATCTCCTAGACAAACTTGATTACATACATATGTATATGCATGTATGCATTTATGCGTATTTAAATATGAATCAAAATAGTTAATTCATGCCAAAGGAACATATTATGCAATTTATGGTTATCTTCATGCCAAGAGAATAAGAATACACTGTACACCTTATTAATCTAGATTAAAAGATTATCATACATACATCCCAGGGAGAATGTTTGTTAGAGACATTTCTAAAATTATAATGAAATTTTTCTTTACTTCTTTATAGTTTCTAATATAAATGTTTTTATCCTTTTATACTGGATAAAATAGATTTCAATAGAATCCTAAATAGAAAAGAAAACAAAATGGTTTCATATTTAAGTTATTGTGGATATTCTTTTACTTTGTTCAAATATAGATATCCAGGAGATCTAAACTCTAAAATAACCATATGAATGAGCTTATTAAGCTTATGACCAAATCATTTGCTTGATAACTAAAAGTATTACAAATGAAGGCAAGTTCTTATGGTTGCTTTAAATTAAGGTCGTTGAAGAGTTATCTGTATCCTGTGTTCATTACAGCATTATTCATAGTAGCTAAGACATTGAAGCACCCTAGGTGTCCCTCATTAGATGAATGAATAAAGAAAATGTGGTGTATATACACAATGAAAATACTATTCAGCCTTTAAAAAGAGGGAAGACCTGTCATTTGCAATAACATGGATGAACCTGGAGGACGTTATGTTAATTGAAATAAGCCAGACACAGAAAGACAAATACCATATGGTATTACTCATATGTGAAATCTATAAAGTGGAACTCTTGGAAGTTGAGAATAGAATGGTGGTTACTAGTGGATGGGGAAGGGGTTAGGTAGGGAAAATGGAGATGTTGATCACAGGGAACAAAATTCCAATTTTGAGGAATAAGCTTTAGTGATATATGACACAAAATTTATAGTGACTGTAATAAATAATGCGTTGTATATTTTAAAAAAACATTAAGGCTGTTTTAAGGGAATCCACCAGTTTAGTAAACAACATGTAAGCTCTGTGTATGTCTTATCTAATTTATTTATTCTGATATCTCTTCAAACGCTTTGTTCCATATCATCAGTTAATTACTCCTCATAGAAATCTTGTGTGTGGGGGGATGAAAACACAAAGAATAGTGTCTACCCTTAACAAATTTCTAAGTATTGCTAACTATAGGCACATTACTGTCAAAATATCTCTAGAACTTTTTACATTGCATGACTAACACTCTGTACCTATAAACAACAATTCCCATTTTCCCCCGTCCCAGCCTCTGGCAACCACCATTCTACCTTCTGTGTCTATGATTTTGATTATGATTTTGATTATTGTAAATACTTTACATAAGAGTATCATGCAGTATTTGTTGCTCTGTGATTGGCTTATTTCACTTAGCAATGTCCTCAAAGTTCATCCATGTTGTTATATATAGCAGGATTTTCTTCTTAAGGTTGCTAATATTTCTTTGTATATGTATATCACATTTTCATTATCTATTCATCTACTGATGGACATTCAGGTGTTTTACCTCTCAGCTACTATGAGTGATGCTACAATGAATATGGGAGTAGAACTCTCTCTTATAACTACCTATACACAAGAGAACTAGATCATATGATAGCAAAGATGGAACAATGGTCACGTGCTTCACTCTTCTCTTCCCAAGGGAGGGGCTCCCAACATGTACTGGTCTGTGTCTACTGTGATATAGATCCTCTACAGCAGCAGCAAGCCACTCAACTCTCATTGTTAGAACCCCACTCCACCCCCACCCCCATCTGTAGTATACAAGTTTCTGTACAGCACTCCGACCAGGCAAGACAAAAACTAGTCTCTTGGGCAGCTCTAACTAAAAACTGAATGCATGCTCCACTTTTTTCCCTCCTCAGGGAGAGAAGCTGAGAGCTAAGGGTTTTCACCTACTTGTCCTGCACTGAATTGGGGGAAAGTACTATGCTAACTGAGTATATGCTAATCCAGATCTTCTTTGTTCTCAGAAGTTCTCAGCCTCCTGTCGTGTTATATGTCCTGTGTGTCCTATCCTTGTCCATCCAGTCCTGCCCCCCACCACTCTCAGTATTGGGCTTGAGACAAGATAGAAACCAGTCCCTCAAGCAAAACTTTGGAAAGTTTGCATATTGGGTGTATTCAGTCTCTTCTTTGCCACCCCAGGGAGAACTCAGAAGCTGGGAGTTTTCTCTTGATCATGTTACACTAAGTCAGGGGGAGGTACTCTGTCTAGCAATAGAGTGCCACAAATTTGCCTACATGTCTGTTTTATACTCACTTCAGGTATAAGAACATCTTAACTATCTTCTTGATTTCTGACAAAAGGAACTGATATATGTATTGTTAAGTCAGCATCTCTCTAGGGGGAGGGAGGGCTTGAGGCTTCCTATGCTGCCATCTTGATGATGTCATCATCTCCCTTATAGGCATTATGGCCCCTTTTCTTTTTCTTACTTTCTTTCTTTTCTTTTCTTTTCTTTTCATACCGGGATTGAACCCAGGAGTGTTTAACCACTGAGCCTCATCCTCATCCCTTTTAATATTTTATTTAGAGACAGGGTCTTGCTGAGTTGCTCAGGGCTTCGCTAAGTTGCTGAGCTTGGCTTTGAACATGCTTCTGCCTTAGCCTTTCAAGCTGCTGGGATTTCAGGCATGTGCTACTGCATCAGGCTCTTGGTCCCTTTTTTAAGGCATACCTTGCTATATTCTTAAGTTTTGTGAAATGGGAACAATAGAAATATGGGAACTAAGAAATATTAATGAACTAATGAAAATCAGATAACTAAATCATTTAATAATATTAAATAATTAACTATTATATTTAAAAATAACTTTGATCCAGTTTGGCATGTGAGGAACTTGGAAGTCATCACTCATCTCCAAAACAACACAAAAAGTCTGAACTGAAATCAATTATTTTTTTTCTGCTATTGGGGATTTGAAAGCAGGGGTACTTTTCTACTGAGCTACACCCTGAGTCCTTTTTATTTTTTACTTTAAGACAGTTCTCACTAAGTTGCTAAGGGTCTTACTAAGATGCTGAGGCTGGCCTCAAACTTGTGATACTCCAGCCTCAGCCTTCTAAATTACTGAGATTACAGGCATGCCCCCATTTTTCCTTGTGAAACTTTAAAATATTTTAAACTAGATGAAAGTACACTTTGTCAAAATTCAAGATATATAGAGAAAGTAGTGCTGAGAGGGAAATTTGTAGCATTGATTGGGCATACAGAAAAGAATAAGTATCTAAAATCAGTAAGTTTCCACTTAGGAGACTGAAAAAAGAATAATAAATTAAATGCAAAATAAGCAGAAGAAAAGAAAAAAATTATAGCAGAAATTACACTCAGTTACCATAATACTCTCCCCCAATTCAGTGCAGGACAAGTAGGTGAAAACCCTTAGCTCTCAGCTTCTCTCCCTGAGGAGGGAAAAAAGTGGAAAGCAATGAAATTGAAACTAGGAAATCAATAGAGGAAAATTGATAAAACCAGTTTGGTTCTTTGAAATAATCAATAAAATTGGTAAACCTATAGCCAGATTAAGAAAGCAGAGACAAATTACCAATTTTAGCATACCAGCAATGAGGAATGCTCATTTGAAATTTAAAAACACAGTACCACTTACATTAGCGCAGCGCGCGCGCGCGCACACACACACACACACACACACAAAAAAAAAAAAAATGGAAGATGTAGGTATAAACCTAGTAAAATATACACAAAACCTATGAGGAAAGCCATAAAACTGTGATGGAAAAAAATTCTAATAAATGAAGAGAGATCATATTCATGCACAGGAAGACTCAATATTCTAAAAATGTCAGTTCTTCCAATTTGATGTGTAGATTCAATGTAATCTCTATTAAAAGTCCCAACAAGTTATTTTATGGATATTAACAAGCTAAATTTTATAGGGAAAGAGAAGAGTATGGCTAATGCAGTATTGAAGAGGAATAAAGTAAAAACACTGATACTACTGACCTCAAGACTTACTAGAAAGCTATAGTAACCAAGATGGTGTGATATTGGCATAAAAACAGAAGAGGAACTGAGGATATAGCCCTTGCTTAGTATGTGTATCACCCCAAATTTGATCTCTTACACTGCAAAACAAAAGAACAACAACAAAAAAAAAAACCCAGACCAATTGATCAATGGAACAGAAAGCCCAGAAATGGATTCACACAAATATAATCAATTAATTTTTGAAAAAGGAATAAGTGAAATTCAATGAAGAAGTTTGTTTCAATAAATGTGTCTGGCACAACTGTTCATACGCATGCAAAAAAAGAGGAGGAGGCAAAGAAGAGGAAGAATCTAGACATAGACCTTAAATTTTTCATAAAAATTAAAGCTGGGGCTGGAGTTTGTAGCTCAGTGATAGTGTGCTTATCTACCATGACACTGGGTTCAATCCTCAACACCACATAAAAATAAATAAATAAAAATAAAGGATTAAAAAAGATTATTTTTAAAAAGTCATAGACTGAAAGAAAGTCTTTAGTGAACACATTTCCATAAAGAGCTGCTATCTACAATATACAGCGAACCCTTAAAATTTAGAAAACAGTCAAATCTTAAAACAGGCAAAAGATATGAACAGATATCTCACTAAACAAGATATAGAGCTGGAAAACAGGCATATCAACCTCACATGTTATT